ATGCAACCAGGACAGTGGACACAAGAAATACCAACCAGGGCAGTGGACACAAAAAAGAAAATACAACCAGGGCAGTGGACACAAGAAATACAACCAGAGCAGTGGACACAAAAAATGCAACCAGGGCAGTGGACACAAGAAATGCAACCAGGGCAGTGGACACAAGAAATGCAACCAGGGCAGTGGACACAAGAAATGCAACCAGGGCAGTGGACACAAGCAATGCAACCAGGGCAGTGGTCACAAGAAATGCAACCAGGGCAGTGGACACAAGAAATGCAACCAGGGCAGTGGACACAAGCAATGCAACCAGGGCAGTGGACACAAGAAATGTAACCAGGGCAGTGGACACAAGAAATGCAACCAGGGCAGTGGACACAAGAAATGCAACCAGGGCAGTGGACACAAGAAATACAGCCAGGGCAGTGGACACAAGAAATGCAACCAGGGCAGTGGACACAAGAAATACAACCAGGGCAGTGAACACAAGAAATGCAACCAGGGCAGTGGACACAAGAAATACAGCCAGGGCAGTGGACACAAGAAATGCAACCAGGGAAGTGGACACAAGAAATGCAACCAGGGCAGTGGACACAAGAAATGCAACCAGGGCAGTCAACACAAGAAATACAACCAGGGCAGTGGACCAAAAAAAAATACAAACAGGGCAGTGGACACAAGAAATGCAACCAGGGCAGTGGACACACAAAAAAATACAACCAGGGCAGTGGACACAAGAAAATAAAAATGTGTCCAGCACTAAGGACCTAGACACCAAAATAGACAACATACAACTAGGTTGACTAAGTCATTTATTAGACTTGGCACAAAAGAAATAAAACCGCAAGCAAAATCACAGTCAGAGACACTGACAGGCAGAGACACTGACAGGCAGAGACACTGACAGGCAGAGGCACTGACAGGCAGAGACACTGACAGTCAGAGACACTGACAGGCAGCAGGACATACAGGAAAACTAAGCCATGAAACTTGACACACAGAAATAAAAACCACCAAGGTTTTACATAGGAGGTTAAACATGGCCGCATTCATTCCCCGCCCCAGTATAAATAAGATGATAACACAGTTCACATACATAAACAACAATGAGCCCTGTTTAGAGTGTTTTCAATGTTTATGATATGCAAGCTGGCTCTTTCTGGATGAGTTTTAGAGGTTGACATGACGTACCATTTAGAGACTCCATTAAAAAGGTATTAGCTAACTCAATCAGTGCTCTCAAAGGTTAATTTGGGGCATTTCTTGCATGATATGACACACGCACACACACACAATGCATACACACCTGTAAGTGTTTAAGTGGCCATACTGACCAGACTCTACCAGTGTCAAGGCAAAAGAATTTTTAACAGTGAATCCATGTTTTTTTTTTTTTTTTAAAGAAAATATTCATAGCTTGCAGCAGGAAGTGGGAAGCAGCAAGTCAGTAACATATACATCTAAAGACTGCTGCTGGATTGGGAGTTGCAATAGTGTAGTGGCTAGATATTTTCTTGACGACCTGAAGGTCTTGAGTTCAGATCTTCATTGAGGCAGATTGTTTTCTGTAAAGATAACCCTGGCTACCAGGTTGACCCAGCCCACATGATGTTGAGCACATCACCCTTCTAGTGCTAATTAGACTAAAAATATCAGTCTCATCACTAAGTTCCCCAAAGAGGCCTGGAAAGGGTTCTTTGTTTGCACTGCCAGAAGATTACTAATACCCATGTAATAACATATACCTTTATTTTTTTTTTAAATCCTAACTGAGATACTTTCAACCTATCTGCTTACAAAATAGACTGAAGGAGCCAGACTTTTTTAGCATCATCATCATCATCATCATCACATGCCCTGCTGACTGGGGTAGTCTTTCATGCTCTCCACAGGTCTCAGTGCCTTGTCCATGCAACCAAAGAATAGCGCTTGTCTTCTCCTTATAGCTTTATATATATATATATATATATATATATATATATATATATATATATATATATATATATATATATATAAAGCTATTTTTATATATATATATATATATATATATATATATATATATATATATATATATATATATATAAGCTATTATATATATATATAACCAAAGAATAGCGCTTGTCTTCTCCTTATAGCTTTATATATATATATATATATATATATATATATATATATATATATATATAAAGCTATTATATATATATATAATATATATATATAATATCTATATATATATATATATATATATATATATATCTATATATATATATATATATAAAGCTATAAGGAGAAGACAAGCACTATATATCCAGGGGATTCTTAACATTCCTCTGAGTTCCCACATCTCCATCACTTCCAAATTCTTATTAGTTCGAGCATTTGCTTTCTATGATTCACTTATAGGTTCTGCATACCATTTGAGCACTCTCTTTCAGACATCCAAAGAGAGGGACCTGTTGTACAAGATGTTCTTCATTCTGTGAAATGCAGCCTTAGCCTGGCCTATTCTGCTCCTAATTTCTGACACACAGCTTCCGACTGATGTTATGATTGTACCCAGATTTCTATTATCTTACTGTGGTGGTATTCTTTTTTCTCTCGATATAACCATTACCTCCGTTCTTCTTTATATTCAAGGACCGACCCTTTTTTGCACGCTTCGTTACTGCAGTTAGTTGTCTGCTTTGCAGGAAATTGCAGAACCAACCCCATATTTTTAGCTGCTGTGGTTTTTCAAGTTTACGTCCAGTAGTTTGCCATTGCTTTCAGGACTTTCGGCTTCTCAATACCACTGTCGAAACCAGCGCAAGGCCTGAAGCTGGGTTGGAACCTGGCACACTGGAAGGGGATCTCAGTGTTGTTAGACCGCAGCGAAGCAGTGTCCAGAAATCCTCTGGCTCTTATCAGCCTACTTCAAATGCATGAGTGATAACGTCCATTGAAAATCCATTTGAGTGAAACCCGCTGGCCGAATATACTACTGTATGATAAACCTCGGTCTAAATGTATGTTGACCGAAAGTCCTACTAAACTGCTAATTAGGCTCAAATGTCCATCAAGTGTCCTACAGCATAACAGCAAAGTTTTAGATGTCTGACCATCAAATGTCTTAATGTGTGACAGGCAAGGTTCACTACCAGTGCCCCCTCTTCTGAGTTTTGGTATCAAAAGTCCAACCATCAAATGACCTACTGTTTTGACAGACAAGGTTCAGATATCCAAGCATTGATTGTTCTTCTGTGTGACAGACAAGGTTCAGATATCCAAGCATTGATTGTTCTTCTGTGTGACAGACAAGGTTCAGATATCCAAGCATTGATTGTTCTTCTGTTTGACAGACAAGGCTCAGATATCCAAGCATTGACTGTTCTTCTGTGTGACAGACAAGGTTCAGATATCCAAGCATTGACTGTTCTTCTATTTGACAGACAAGGTTCAGATATACAAGCATTGACTGTTCTTCTGTGTGACAGACAAGGTTCAGATATCCAAGCATTAATTGTTCTTCTGTTTGACAGACAAGGCTCAGATATCCAAGCATTGACTGTTCTTCTGTTTGACAGACAAGGCTCAGATATCCAAGCATTGACTGTTCTTCTGTGTGACAGACAAGGCTCAGATATCCAAGCATTTATTGTTCTTCTGTTTGACAGACAAGGCTCAGATATCCAAGCATTGACTGTTCTTCTATTTGACAGACAAGGTTCAGATATCCAAGCATTGACTGTTCTTCTGTGTGACAGACAAGGTTCAGATATCCAAGCATTGACTGTTCTTCTATTTGACAGACAAGGTTCAGATATACAAACATTGATTGTTCTTCTATTTGACAGACAAGGTTCAAATATCCAAGCATTGACTGTTCTTCTGTGTGACAGATAAGGTTCAGATATCCAAGCATTGACTGTTCTTCTATTTGACAGACAAGGTTCAGATATACAAGCATTGATTGTTCTTCTATTTGACAGACAAGGTTCAGATATCCAAGCATTGATTGTCTTCTGTGTGACAGACAAGGTTCAGATATCCAAGCATTGACTGTTCTTCTATTTGACAGACAAGGTTCAGATATACAAACATTGATTGTTCTTCTATTTGACAGACAAGGTTCAAATATCCAAGCATTGACTGTTCTTCTGTGTGACAGATAAGGTTCAGATATCCAAGCATTGACTGTTCTTCTATTTGACAGACAAGGTTCAGATATACAAGCATTGATTGTTCTTCTATTTGACAGACAAGGTTCAGATATCCAAGCATTGATTGTCTTCTGTGTGACAGACAAGGTTCAGATATCCAAGCATTGACTGTTCTTCTATTTGACAGAAAGGTTCAAACGCCCTTTACCATTGGCACCACTCGTTAATGAAGAGTGTCGGTACCAAAGGGGAGTCCATGCTTAATGCATGCTTTTCCTATACTTTCGTGCTAAGTATCCCGTTGCAAGAATGTTAAAGGTGTCTGACCTGCTGAAAAAGATTGTGACCCTTTGTGTGGTCGTCACAGTCATGGACCTATGTGCTGCCACCTGTTGATCTCCAAAGGGTACAGCCTGCTATGAGTGGGAAGCTCAACATACAGATGTGAGGTTCAGCAGACATGCAGAAAGTGATGATTCTTTGGGTGAAACCAGGAGCAGAGCGTCATGTCGGCTTTGCATTTATGGAAGCCTCCTTGAATGGTGAGGAATGCCCATGATCTGACCCTGCCTTTCCTCGAGGGCTGACCAGTCTACATGCAGTTGCCCTGGATAGGTTCTCCTGGGGCAACATTTGTAAATAAAGGAACAAAGCTTTAGGAAAAATGCTTTAAACAGGCACAATGCAAATTACCCACTTAGACGAATGATGAAGCAGAAGAATAAGTCTGCACAGGAAAGAGGTACCCACAAAAATGTAATACTAAGCATGTTTCCAGTCAACATCCTGTTAAACAAGATAAATGGGGAGTGAATTTTGTTTTTACACAATTTTATTAATTAAAATTTTCAGGTTAACTGAATGAAAATGTTGACAAGTGTGTGTGTCTTTCTTTGCTTGGTGGCGTCTGCCACTGCACGTAAGTTTACATTGTGCCAGTACTTTTACACATTTTGAAAGAAAATACAGTTCAACTTACGACTTACTAGATAGTTCAACTTACGACATACTAGATAGTTCAACTTACTAGATAGTTCAACTTACTAGATAGTTCAACTTACTAGATAGTTCAACTTACTAGATAGTTCAACTTACTAGATAGTTCAACTTACGACTTACTAGATAGTTCAACTTACTAGATAGTTCAACTTACTAGATAGTTCCACTTACTAGTTAGATAGTTCCACTTACTAGATAGTTCAACTTGCTAGATAGTTCAACTTACTAGATAGTTCAACTTATTAGATAGTTCAACTTACTAGATAGTTCAACTTACTAGATAGTTCAACTTATTAGATAGTTCAGCTTACTAGATATAGTTCAACTTACTAGATAGTTCAACTTACGACTTACTAGATAGTTCAACTTACTAGATAGTTCAACTTATTAGATAGTTCAACTTACTAGATAGTTCAACTTACTCGATAGTTCAACTTATTAGATAGTTCAGCTTACTAGATATAGTTCAACTTACTAGATAGTTCAACTTACGACTTACTAGATAGTTCAACTTACTAGATAGTTCAACTTATTAGATAGTTCAACTTACTAGATAGTTCAACTTACTAGATAGTTAAACTTATTAGATAGTTCAACTTACTAGATAGTTCAACTTATTAGATAGTTCAACTTATTAATAGTTCAACTTATTAATAGTTCAACTTATTAGATAGTTCAACTTATTAGATAGTTCAACTTACAACTTACTAGATAGTTCAACTTATTAGATAGTTCAACTTACTAGATAGTTCAACTTACTAGATAGTTGAACTTACTAGATAGTTCAACTTACTGGATAGTTCAACTTACGACTTACTAGAGAGTTCAACTTACGACTTACTAGATAGTTCAACTTACGACTTACTAGATAGTTCAACTTACTAGATAGTATAATGCCATGTAATTCTTCATCTTGTCATCTGCCTTATTTTCTGATGTTTTTGTTTTTTCCCTACTATCCGTTTTCTTTAGTTTTTTTATTTTGTGTGCATCTTTTTTTTAATTTTTATATTAGTTGCATATTTTTGTGTCTTATGTTAGTCCTTCTTTTTGCCATAACTTATTACTGTTTTAAAAATTTACTTTGGGCAGCAGCACATTTGATCTGCTCATTTTAACTTCCAGCCTCACTGGGACTTTTAGCGTATACTGTGATTATGGTGAGGTGTTACTTTTGTCCAAGAAACTATACACTTTTTTCTGTGATCTCTTTGTCTTTTTAGGGATCACTTCACTGCTTTTTATACAGTCGGATAAGTTCTTATGATAAAACTAAGCAATTTTTTTCTTTCTTTTTTGTATGTGGTTCCTTTTGAGTAAGGCCAATATTCCCCCCTTAACCCTCTTGCCTAAAGAAAGCTGTTTTTCCTACTTTTAAGGGTTTTGGTTGACATGATGTCTTTGAACAGTGCCCAGTGTGCCTGTATAACAGCTTTGGTACTGGCTGCAACTGCATAGTGTGTAGACATGGTGGGCATGATTATATTAACCCCCACAAATTTTTTGGGAAGTGAAATCCCCCCCCCCCCCCCCCTCTCTTCCTTTTCCCCAAAAGATTGTTTAAGATGGTGGGTTCACCGAATGTCAAATAATTTCATTATATCACATTGTAGCAAAGTGAGCAGAAACACTGGTGAATGGTCAGATAGAAGGAAGTCAGTTAATACTTTGCTTTGTTTGTATTCAGTGAATACTTTCTTTTACCTAGATGCAAACCATTTCTCCAGCTTAGACATTTAGTGACTGGACAATTTAACAGATATTATTCTAGTGACACGACATCGTCACAGAAGCAGAGGGCTTCACACTGTCCTGTCCTCTCTGTGTTCTAGGGGTTTGTCTCCTGAATAATTATTAAAACTGACCAAGACTCCATATTTCTTTAGCCTCTTCTTCTCTTCTTCTAGTTTATTAAGGCAGAGTTTCAGTTAATTATAAGGATGCTTTTTTCTAGGACGAAATTGGAGAAAAACAGGTCACGTTTTAAGATTCTTAATGGGCACGAGGGTTAAAAGACCTGTACAAGAGGCATCTCTACAGGATATCCTGCCATTTGTTCACAGAGCCACATGGGCAAAATGTTGAACTACTCAAATGAAGCTTGTACGTATGCTTGCTAAAATTATTCCCTTCCCTGACGACCTACCCAAGTTGTCACAACTCCTTGATAAGGGAGAAGGATATTGTCTGTTTATCTTAAATTTTTGTTTCTGCATTTGATCCTCAAACAGAGCACAGACCCTCAGCCAACTCACACCAAGTCGTCCTATCCTTTGCTCATTCAAGGAGCTCACCCACTGTATTCCCTGTCTTTTTAACTACACTCTCTAACTCTGTTCTCCATTTTTTTTTTTGAGGGGGGGGGGGGGGGGGGAGGGGGATGTCTACCTTTATGTACCTCTGTGGGATCCAGTCTAGTGCAAAAGCATTCTAATTCATATTGTTCTCAGTTTTTCTTATCATGTGTCAATCAACTGCTAGCATCTTTGCTTCACAGCTTGATTTACTGGAACTTGTATCTTGAATTTACACTGTCCTAATCTTGAATCAAACCAGGTCTGTCTTTAATTTACACTGTCCTAATCTTGAATCAAACTAGGTCTGTCTTTAATTTACACTGTCCTAATCTTGAATCAAACTAGGTCTGTCTTGAATTTACACTGTCCTAATCTTGAATCAAACCAGGTCTATCTATAAGCAGGCATGAGGTCTTAAACAACCACTCTGCTTAGCTAAAAAAAAAAAAAAAAGGTTATTACTTATAAATTATAAACACATTAGCTTTTGTGAGTGTAGGATAAATGGTAAACTAATTTGTAAATGAACTAATGGTGCCCTAATTTTTCTGACAGTTTCCCAGCCACCGGCTATGTTCCTAGAGCCAGATAACAATGTGTATTACAAAGCTGGAGAGACTGTACAAATGCCATGTGTGGCAACTGGAGAACCTCGTCCAGAGTGAGTAGATTCTGTTTATGTGAAGAACAGACAAGTATTAGCATAGCATTTTAATGGATCAGCTTAAAATAAAAAGAAAAAAACGTATACTAATTATGTATTTTTGTCTTATGTGCTGTCTCCTTAGTGGAGGTTGCTGTCAGTGTATGTGTGCATCTATTACTGTCTTTGAGAATGTGGGTACCAGCGCCTGTGGGAATTGAAGAAAATGAAAAGGCAGACAGAGAAACAATGAAGGGCAGAATCATTTATAAAATAAATGTTGATATAAGACAATATGGTTTTTAAATCACTAATTTAAACAACAAAATAACAACAGAAGAATGGACAGAGATATGGAATCTTCTTCGCGGTCACCAGCTGTAAACTCCTGCCGAAAGTTCTGGTTGCTCGTCCTCTTCTGGACTGCAGTCCTGTTCCAGAAACTGAGTGTTGCATGTGCATCCGTTTTACAGATCTGACTCATTTGTATGCAGACTGCTGGTTCCTTGCCTCTCAGGCAGATGCACTCCGACTTCGAAGGAAGCTCCCAATTAGTCGACTCTTACGACATGCTTTTGGGTAGGCAGTGGGTCTGTTCTTATTTTCCCTATAAAAGGGCCCCAAAACCCACACTGGTAAGATATGGAATGAAAGCTGGAAGTAAAGGCATGCATACATTTGGAAGATCTGGTTTTGTGTAAGATAATATACTTTGATTGCTCATTATTATTGACATGATACTTGAGGATGATCAGATAAAAGCCCTTTGCCTGACATAAGACTAGAACTAAATCACAGTATCTAAATATTCTAAATATCTATTTTCTGCAGGTATCGTTGGAAAAGAAACGAGATCGAATTCAACCCCAGTGGTAATGATGCTAGGGTTGTCCAGCTTCCAAATGCTGGCACTCTTGTCATTAACAGCCCAGAAGACAAAGATGAGGGCATTTTCCAGTGTTTTGCAATAAATTCCTTTGGTATTTCTGCAACAAAGAAGATTAATCTCAGGCAGGCAAAGCTGCAAGAATTTGCTTATTCACCTCCCAAAAATTTTACTCCCAGAATTGGAGAACCCTTCACCCTGCCGTGTGTTCCACCAGAAAGCGTCCCACCACCCAGTGTCATGTGGATCAACAAACTGGAAATGGGCGGCATCGATGTCTACAACTATGATGACCGTGTTTCCATGGACAGAGAGTGTATGTACTTTTTGTATTTTATTTCTTCTCAGGTTTTGTGCTGAAAATCATTTCTGTTTGGATTTTGTATTTGTTCAGTAATATAATTATTTGTTGGTATTTTGTGAATATTTTTTAGTTGTTTATTTGCTTCTTTGTTTCTATCTTTGTTACTTTTTTTTTTTAAATTTAAAAAAAAAATATATATATTTTAAGAATTTTCTGAAGTACATGGTAATGGTGGAAAAGTGAATGGAGACAAGTGGGTGACCAAGAAAGAAGGTTCTGAAAGTTTGACACCATAGAATGGAAGATCATTGATTAAAAGTACTCATGACAGAAGGTTATGGATAGATGCTGGAAAAACACTTTGTGACAGTCATCAGCATGGTCGGCATTGACTTTATTTGCTGCAAATATCCCTGTAGTAAAACTAAAAGCCTTAGCTGTCAGTCCTTAAAAGGCAGACCATCACTAATTTCTTCATCTCTCCCATTCAACACTGATGTCCAAATGTACACTGATGTCCAAATGTACACTGATGTCCAAATGTACACTGATGTCCACATGTACACTGATGTCCAAATGTACACTGATGTCCAAATGTACACTGATGCGCAAGCACACATCATTCAAAAGAGAACTACATACAACTGGGTCTATAACAGACATGACTACCAGCACCACACTGCATGGACTATAACACAGGCACATTTTGAGAAATATTGACTGTGGAGTTTAAACTCCAAATGACACCAAAGATTTGATAAGGTTGCATGTTTCATATGATGCTTGGCCATTTAAAGTGTTGGAAATATTTTCATGGCATAAAGAATTATACACTAGTTATGCTGAGGTGAATTAACCTGGGCCTTTCATCATGGTCCTTCACAAAGTAAGACGCAAGTCAGGTTCTCGTTGTTTGATTTATTTATAACATTCAGTTCACATTTAATTCAGCCACAAAATTCATATTTCTTCATGTTAGCCAAACACTGGCTGTAAATGTAACGTTGACATAAACAGCATATTTAACTACTTATTTTGTTTCATTTGAAACCGTGTGTTAATTGTTATACTTTTTTTCTGAAGTTCGACTCAGGTTTGCAAATGTCAGAGCAGAAGATAGAAAAGGTGGCCTGCCTTATGCCTGTATGGCTGTGAACCCAGATATGAGGAGAAGTACTCAAGGACCTCTGTTCTATATATCTCCCATTGGATGTAAGTAGATCAGGCATATTCTTGTTCATAACACAGTTGCTAAAATTGTATCTTTTTGCTCCTGAAATGCTTAAAACAAAACAGGAACTCACAAGAATTCTCCCTCCTCCTCCCTCTCACCTCCCATTCCCCACAACTTAACAAAGTTAAAAAAAACAAAAAACAGTGACAAACCATTTGACAAAGGTCACACATACATTTACTTTAAAATTTATGTATCAACATTAATACAAATTTTGTTTATGAAATATACTGGGGAAGTAATCACTAAACATTATTATTAACATTATTATTTAAAGTCTCTCGTAGCAGAATTATTTTTTTCTTTAGACTTGCTTTTGATTAACTGGAAATTGTAAATGGGGTTGTCATCAGGATAAAATGGCTAACCCAACAAGAAACCGTCTATAACATGCTTGATAGGCTACTGTACATTTAGTCTTTGCTTCCCTAATGGGTCATGGTGACACTGAAGAAACTCTCTTTATTTACTATAGTTATTTGTGTGATCTGTTTAATTGTATTGTTTTTCCTTCATGCTTTTATCATACACGTCTGTCAATATTTGATCAGAGTTGATCAGTACTTTCACAGAGTTTACTTAGTACTTAATATTTTTGACTTTCTGCAAAAGCTGCCAATGTGATTTGTTCACATAAGATCCCTTTATATTTGTTTTTTTTATCATTTAGCAACTGATACATTTACAAGAGTCAGTTACTTGTGGGCTGATCAGGATGATAGATTTGGTCTACGTGGGGAAACTTTCTCAGTGAAATGCATTTTTGCTGGCAAGTAAGTGACTACATGAGGTTCAGTTGAATATGGTTAATCTTCATTGACATGTTATTCACATGAATATGGTTAATCTTTATCTGGCATGTTATTCACATGAAGATTTGTTATCTGTCATTTGTGGAGGAATTATTGGATGACCCATTTGCTGTGAAATTTACACTGTGACTAATAACTTTGCATGCAGGGTAAATGCTTTGTTGTTGTATAAAAGACTAATTTAAATGTTTGTTTCTTACCTGATCTGCTGTTTAAAATGTACAAGTGTGATGTTTACATTCAGTCAGTATTATTTGTTTTGCTCGCCACAGTGTTTACAGTTGTTCCGGGTTCGTAGTGGGCCTTAAAAACTGGGAAAAGTCAGGAAATTCATGATCCCTCACAAGGTCTAGAAAAAACTCAGGATTTTTATTAAAACTGATGGAAATCCTAGACCTTTACCTACCAATCCTGGAACTTTGCACACTGTATCTAGATAACAAAAGTAGAATTTTGTGTGATTGTCAGCAATGAGGATTTTCGTGGGTACAGTTTTTGTGGTTACACCTCTGTTTAATGATTGTAGGTAAACTTTTAAATATGTGCTGGCAATTTGTGGGGATGGGCAGTCGGTGAGCCTGGCATGTGATAGGCGGTTCATGATCTCATTGTCTGCTCTGAGGGTGGGGTATGGACGATGCCGAGAGTTAGCTATCTTCACCTGACTCATTTCTCCTCATCCCCTTTCCCTCCCTTCAGTTGGCGAGCAAGGTCGGCTGGTACCCGATGCAGAATATACCCCCTGCCCCCACATTTATAGGCATCAAATATATGTATAATTTTAAACACATTTGCCACTTCCCTCCCCTTTCCAGTAATGACACCTAGGGTGGCCGCAAACCCCTTCCCCCTTCACAGGGCTGACACCCAGGATGGCCCACACCCCCGCTACCTTCTTCCCCCTGTATTTCTCTTTTACTTTCTCCTTTTTTTCTTTCTCCCCCTGTCTCAGTGCCAACTTTCTTTTCTTACTTTCTATTTCTCTCTCTCTGTCTGTCTGTCTGTCTTTCTCTCTCTCTCTCTCTCTCTCTCTCTCTCTCTCTCTCTCTCTCTCTCTCTCTCTCTCTCTCTCTCTCTCCTTCTCTCTCTCTCTCTCCTCTTCTTTTATGTGTCCCTCTTTCCCTTTCAATCTTCTACCCAGTCCCCCTCCCCCCCAACACACACTTTCTGTAATGGTAGAAATCAAGTCCACTGGCACATGACTTATTTTCCACTTTTTCCTGAATCCTGTCAACCTCTCCTCTAGTCTTCATCTTCTTGGCTTCTCTCTATCTAGTAGCTGTGTCCAGTGCACAAGAAATTGTGTTATGGTTAAGGAAGGGACCAGGCTGGTGTTTTTTTTTTTTCTCCTGATGTTCTCTTTTGAAATTAGTTTTTTTGTTCTTTAGATCTGTTTTATATGTTAGCCCTTCTGGCATTTGACCTTACTGTTTGTGACTGCCTTCTTCTCTTTCTGTGTCTGCCGCCTTCTCTTCTCTTGCTCTGCCTTTCTCTCTCTCTCTCTCTCTCTCTCTCTCTCTCTCTCTCTCTCTCTCTCTCTCTCTCTCTCTCTCTCTCTCTCTCTCTCTCTCTCTCTCTCTCTCTCTCTCTCTGTTTCTCTCTCTTGCACTGTGTTCATCATATTTCTTTAGCATGGCTGTCTGTGACCATTGGTGCAGGGCATTCTCGTCATATGCCAAGCCATCTCATCTGTTGTTCTTTAATGAACTATATAACTGGTTTCAGCCCTGGTAGCAGTGTTTACAATGTGTAATTATTATAATTGTTTTACTACTCACAACAGGCAGTACATTGTGCATTGTGTTATTTGCATTCTGATTATTTCAATGTTTTAATTGTTTTTTGCAGCCCCACACCTGATGTCCATTGGGAGAGAGGTGAAAACAAGACACTTCCTGACCGTGCCAATTTGAAAAGCTTTGCACAAGAATTGGAAATCACCAATTTGCAGTTTGAAGATGCAGGAGTCTATCAGTGCTGGGCGACCAACTCTGTCAGCGGTGGCTACCGCGCAGTCAGACTCTTCAATGTTAGAGTCAACTGTGAGTGCTGGTTTCGTTTTACATTCTTCATTATTTCTGTCTGTAGCTCGAAACTGGCAGTTGCTATGGCAAAATTATAAAAAGTATAGCAGTATAAAAACAAAGCAGTATAAAAATATAACAAAAGAAGAGTATCTATAGCTGTTAACCTCTTACCTTGAAATGGAAGACAGATGAAAGGTGTCGTATTAATTTACCAAAAATAAGTTTTTAATGTGATAATAAACAGACTGACTTACAAACATGCCAAGTGGAAAAAAAAAGTCAGTCAAAGGTGAATGGAGGTGGGTGATATTTGCAGCAGGGAACCTCAAGGGTTCAGAATGCTGAAGAAGAAATTTATATTACAGGACATCAGAAAGCTGAATGTATGTTTCCATACCTTGAGATGTATTTGGCAGCCTTGCTGTAAACCACATTGCGATATACCCACGTACAGAATCCTTAATCAGGCCATAAGGCATATTGGGTATATAATGTTAGCCAATTAGTTGTAAACAAATCACTTTTCAAAAGCTGATGTAGCCAATATTTTTTGGCTGTCTTTGTGTACTAGGACATTTCCAAATATCCAGTTTAGGCTGGGTCTGCTTGAAAGCCCTGGTCAGTCAACACAAATTGTCACAGTGATTGTTATATTACATTTTATTTTCCAGGACCTGTTAAATGTGGTGGATAGATGGCTTACTGTTTTTAATTTTTAATTGCATTTATTTTTTGGCTTCTGACATTTTATGAGTTGCCGATTTCCTTTGGAAGATATGGTTTGTGTTGTGACCTGCATTTTCAGAAAATTGACAGTAGCCTGTTGTGACAGAACTGGTGGTGCCTTATGCAATGAGTATATTGTAACTGCTCCTTACACCACTGATGAACTGCAGTTCTAGTGATGGGCTGTTTATTTTGCCACATCTGATGGCAGCCTTATGCATTTAATGGGTGTGTATGTTACTGACTTTGTCAAGACTGCAATCTGGGCCAGTTTTTTTCCACAAGTGATGGACATTCTCTGTGGTTTCTGCTGGCACGGGAACAGAGTAACTATGAGTTTACCCATTTGCCATGAAATTTAAACTGCAATTACCTGATTGAGACTGTGCTATTAACAGTGAATGTATGTAATGATTCATGGCTAGATGACAAGAGATCTCTATTGCTGGCCCTTCTATGTTCTATCACTGATACTTATTTACACATTTAATATTTTAGATGCTGGCAGACATTCTGAAGACTATTTATGAATGAATGCTAGTAGAAGATACAATATTAGATGAAATAACATCTCAGGTTGTGGGATTAGTCACTTATTAGGCAACCTGGCATGTGTTGTCTTATTTAAAGTTTTCATTTACAATTTGTAAGATTGATCTAAAATTAAGTGTGGATCCTGCAAGAAAAGAAATATGAAAGAAAGAATATAATGTGATTGGTCTAAAATTAAGTGTGGATCCTGCAAGAAAAGAAATATAAAAGAAAGAGTATAGTGTGTGTTCAACTAGTTTGCTTCTGAGAGTGTCAGCATCTACACATTAAGACATTTATTGTGGGAGTTGGCATATTTATGGCTATGCCATGGCAATTCTTATATCAATAATTAGAATTTTAAGAGGAAGATTTTTTGTTTTTATAACTTTCTTACTGTTTCTATGTTTCTTCTAGCAAAACCATATTTTGTTCAAGCACCACAAGATATTGAGATTGGGGTTGGAGCCAATGTTGAGTTCACTTGTATAGCTCATGGTGTACCAGAACCGGACATTGAGTGGTTTATTGACGGTGTCCCTCTGAAAGGTACATCTGCTGGTGATTGTTTTAATGGGGGAGGAGGGGGGGGGGGGGGGGGGGGGGGGGGGGGGGGGGGGGGGGGGGGGGGGGGGATGACTAACAATTTTTTTCTGGGAAACAGTAAAATGTAAGACTAATAGAACATTAGATGGTAGTGACACAGACTCTAGATTATGGTGAAACAGACTCTAGATGATGGTGGCACAGACTCTAGATTATGGTGACACTGACTGTAGATGATGGTGACACTGACTCTAGATGATGATGGCACAGACTCTAGATGATGGAGGCACAGTCTCTAGATGATGGTGGCACAGACTCTAGATGGTGACACCGACTCTAGATGATGGTGACACAGGCTCTCGATGATGGTGGCACAGGCTCTAGATGATGGTGGTACAGTCTCTAGATGGCAGTGGCACATACTTTAGATGATGGTGACACAGACTCTAGATAATGGTGACAGAGACTAGATTATCATGACACAGACTCTAGATGGTGGTGGCACAAATTCAAGATGATGGTGACACAGACTCTAGATTATTGTGACACAGACTCTAGATGGTGGTGACACAGACTTTAGATGATTGTGACACAGACTCTAGATAATGGTGACACAGACTCTAGATAATGGTAACACAGACTTTAGAGGATATTGATGCTGACTCTAGATGGTGGTGACACAGACTCTAGATTATTGTGACACAGACTCTAGATGGTGGTGACACAGACTTTAGATGATTGTGACACAGACTCTAGATAATGGTGACACAGACTCTAGATAATGGTAACACAGACTCTAGAGGATATTGATGCTGACTCTAGATGGTGGTGACACAGACTCTAGATAATGGTGACACAGACTCTAGATAATGGTAACACAGACTCTAGAGGATATTGATGCTGACTCTAGATGGTGGTGACACAGACTCTAGATAATGGTGACACAGACTCTAGATGATGGTGACACAGACTCTAGATGATGGTGACACAGACTCTCAATGATGTTGACAGGGACTCTAGATAATGGTGACAGACTCTAGATGATGGTGACACACACTCTCAATGATGGTGATACAGACTCTAAATCAGTGACTTGCAACCTTCCTAATGCCGTCATCCTTTAATACAGGTCCCTCGTGTTGTGGCAACCCACAAAACAATATTTTCCTTTATAACTTCAATGAATATGTGTTTTCTAATGGTCTTAGGCGACCCATATGAAAGGGTTGGTGGACATAAAAAGGGGTTGCGACCCACAGGTTGAGAACCGCTGCTCTAGATGATGGTGACACAGACTCTAGATGATTATGACACAGACTCTAGATGATGGTGATGCAGACTCTAGATGATGATGACACAAACTGTAGATAGTGATAATATTTAAACTTAAATGTTTATTTTTGATTGGCTATTTTATGGGAAGGCTAACAAGGGCAATGATTTCTTGTAAAGAATCGTTGGTTGCTGTCAGATTGTAAATTTAGCAACTGTTGAAACCTAGCTGAAGATGAAGAAGAAGATTGATAATCTTCATATGTGATTTTGATACTTATGTTTAGACAGACTTGCTGAAATAATCTGGCAACAGATTTGTCTTTTGCATTGTGTGCACATTTGGCCGATGTTAAAGCAGTCTGGGATTTTATCATAATTTTGTTCTGCTCTACAATATGGCTGACATAACTGGACTTTTTATTTAAGATATTTTTTTAAACTATGAATCTCATCAGCTTTCATCAATTTCCACTCTAGAACTTATTTAATTAATTGTTACTTTCATGAAAAACTACATTGTGTCTTAAAAAGATATATTTTTAAAATTAACCTTACTAGACTTTACTTTTCTCATTGCCAGATGTGACTGACCCAAGAATTACAGGACCAAGATTTAAACGTCCTGTGGAAAATAAGATTTTTCTGGAGAATGTTCAGCTGAGTGACCACATGGTCGTCCAGTGCAATGCCTCAAACATTCATGGATATGTCTTTGCTGATGTTTATCTGAATGTACTTGGTAAATAACATGATATATCTGTGCATGCATGAGTGGCAAAAATGTCTTAAAGTGCATTATAAAACCTGTTATCAGAATATTCTTTGGGCAGAAGAAAAAAATATATACTGGGAAAAAACAAAAACAGACACTCTGTCAGGACCAAAGAGGGTAAGATATGATCATATGAAGGGTGTGACTGATGAAGATAGTTTTTCGCTTTATCCAGAGCATCAGTTATGTTATTTTTATGTCTCCGCTTTTGGAGAAGGGGAGAGGAGGGGTCTATCCCTGACTGATAAAGATAGCTTTTCACTTTAACCAGAGCATCAATTATGTTATTTTGATGTCTCTGTTTTTGGAGAACGGGGTGGAGAATGGTCTATTCCTGACTGATGAACTGGATAGCAGCTGTACTGCATTCATATATAATTGCCCTTCGTCTGGGTACTTGGACCTCAGAACCAGGCAGTATCACTCTGAAACTGATACATGTTCTGCAATTTCACCAGTGATCTTCAGTGTGTGTACAGGTAAGATTGCAGAACTTGCAACTTCAGGTATTGGAAGAATATTGACACAGTCGACTTCACAGCCATACGTACACAAAATTTAAGATTGGCAAATCAGCCATGTGTGCATGTGAATTAGCACCTGAGACAACAGATCATGTCCTCCATATACAGCATATCAAGGCAAAACTTTTGGCCAGGAGAAACACCGGTTTAAGCCAAACTTTTACAAAATGTTGACATTTGTAGATGATGTTCTTGCATACAGGCAGGGAAGCGATAGGCAACAGACAACCTATGAGTTACAGGCTACTGCAGTTTAAGTGACTGATTGGTGTGCAGAGATTGGTGCTGTCATCAACTCAGAAAAGGTGGCTTGTTTTATGGTGCTCTCAGGCTGGTCAATCAAGTGCCATCTTCACATTGAATATTAGCTACAATAGATCTCCAGCATGCTTTGTCTCTTGTCTTGATTGTACACTTTCTCACTGTTGTTCGTCTAGCTCTTGATGTTGTCCTGCCATTTGTAATATTGTCTACCTCTTGCTCTCTTGCCTTCAGTTTTTCCCTCCCATGTGGTTTTTTAAAACCGTGTTATGTCTTTTAATGTAGCCATAGTATTTCAATTGTCTGTTTGCTTATTTCTTTCGGTAACTTTCTTTTTATTCATAGTTTTTCCAGAACGTCTGAATTGGACTGTGTTTGTTTCCATGAAATATATTCCTCTGTATATACACATTTCCAGAAACTCTGATTTTCTAGTTGTTATGATCCAAAGGAAAGTAATACCAGTAAGTCTGGAACAAAACATGTGTCAGAAGCTGCTAGATCAGAAGAGCCTTGCTATGTCCACCTGTCAGATTTTCCTTCTAAACTTGTCAACTTATCAACCAATGATAAGTGCCTGGTCTGCCCTTGCTTAATTGACATCAAGATTAAATGACTTGTGCTTTGTTATCTGTGACTTGTATCCCCTACTTGATCTTCCCCAGCTGAAGCTCCAACCATTCTCACTCCACCAAAAGCCAGAGAAGTTTCAGCCGAAGGCATGGCAGTTAATTTGACTTGTCGTACGACAGGCAAACCAGACCCAACCATAACCTGGTATAAGGATGAGCTGCAGATAACTGGTGGGCGTTACATTATCAGCAAGACAGGAGATTTGCACATCAGGGTAAACTGATATTTTTGCAATATGCTGACTGTCTCAATATTTTCAATGATTAGAATCGTTTATGAAACTCTAGCTTGATGATAAAGATGGGAAGCAATTTTGGGAATGCCCTGATTGCTGTTATGTTGGTTCTTATCTCAGCTCAGCATAGAAGCGTTGTCACTCACTTAATATGTAATCTCTCTCAGCAGATGTAAAAGTAGAAATGCTGATCGTTTCTCTAGCATTCTGATTATGCATGCTGTTAATTTTGACCCTTTCTGTGTCTCACACCTGCTATTGTTAATGTAAGAGTGTGGGTATGCTGATCGTTTCTCTAGCATTCTGATTATGCATGCTGTTAATTTTGACCCTTTCTGTGTCTCACACCTGCTATTGTTAATGTAAGAGTGTGGGTATGCTGATCGTTTCTCTAGCATTCTGATTATGCATGCTGTTAATTTTGACCCTTTCTGTGTCTCACACCTGCTATTGTTAATGTAAGAGTGTGGGTATGCTGATCGTTTCTCTAGCATTCTGATTATGCATGCTGTTAATTTTGACCCTTTCTGTGTCTCACACCTGCTATTGTTAATGTAAGAGTGTGGGCATGCTGATCGTTTCTCTAGCATTCTGATTATGCATGCTGTTAATTTTGACCCTTTCTGTGTCTCACACCTGCTATTGTTAATGTAAGAGTGTGGGTATGCTGATCGTTTCTCTAGCATTCTGATTATGCATGCTGTTAATTTTGACCCTTTCTGTGTCTCACACCTGCTATTGTTAATGTAAGAGTGTGGGTATGCTGATCGTTTCTCTAGCATAGTGATGATGCATGCAGTTAACTTTGACCCCTTCTGTGTCTCACACCTGCTATTGTGACAACAGGTGACAAAGGTATTAGTTGGGTTTGATGTCCATCCTTATTGGACTACAGGTTACTCCATTAACCACCACGTGCTCCTGTATATGTTATACAGCTGAACAGTTTTTGTACTAGACTCACAGGGCCTGCTTCAAAAAATAGAAATTGATGTCTTTTGCTCAGAGTGGCTTGCATCACTTTGTAAAACTGAAATCAAAAGCATGTCATGGATTTTTTCCCAGAGTGGTAATGAGCAGGTTGATTGACTGCTGCCATCCCCCTAGGCAGTGAGCTGCATTATAGAACAGATGTGGTGAAGGCTCTCTGGGATCAATCAAACAGTGAAATGGAACAGAGCATTCATATCAAAAGAGAAAGATTCAGCTAAGAATATAAGAAGGATCTCAATGAATTTCTGCCTACAAGAGGAAAGGCAGGCAAACTTTTAGTATATTGCTACTGGTACCATAGCAGAGAGAGAGATGAATAAGGACAAGGAAATATTTAGCTATAATGGCATGTGGCAACCTATGTATCAAGAAGTAAACTATCTGTTAACATTTTAGTTAGTTATCGGCCCGCTGCAATAGCTTTTACCTGTCAGCCTATCAGCTTGACAATTTCCTTCCACGCCTGTGTGCCCTGGCGCAAATATGAAACTGATATGTGTCTAGACTCAAGTCACTATCTTCGGACTTAGCCCATCTCTATCTTCTTGAGCATACTCATTGATATTTCATGAAAATATAAACTAAGATAAACACTAATGATACAGGTTGAAAATCCTAGACTGAATTCCAGCCATATTGTTAACTTGAAAAATTTTACAGGATAAAATGGAATGGACAATTACTTGTGAGGCAGATGTCACCTACAAACATCACAATAGGATAATAATGTTGCTAATGGTGATAATGATTATAATATAAAAATAGAAAGTTACAATAATTTGCCAGCTTGTCTGACAAACAAATAGAAGTATTTTGGTTTTCTACAATCCAAAAGAAATCTGTCTAAGTGAAGAATGGTTACAAGATCCCTAAATGTCTCTTGTACTTTGAGAAGTTGAGAGATAACTGCTGTGGTGGGTTTTCTTTATATAGGACCAAGAACCTATAATCATTATCCTTGGGTAGATACATGGACCTACATTTCTCAGATAGGGACAGAAAGCTAGAAGACTCTGTGTGCACATTATCACCATCATTATCCTTGGGTAGATACATGGACCTACATTTCTCAGATAGGGACAGAAAGCTAGAAGACTCTGTGTGCACATTATCACCATCATTATCCTTGGGTGGATACATGGACCTACATTTCTCAGATAGGGACAGAAAGCTAGAAGACTCTGTGTGCACATTATCACCATCATTGTCCTGTTGTGACACGCAGTCTCACATAAGGCTCACAGTCTATTCCTCCTTTCTGTTCTATCCTGTGCAGTCATTTCAGTGTTGTGAATGGAATCCAGTCCAGCAGCTTTAGCGTCTTTTATCAACGTTCATTTTAGGGTTTCTTTTGGGCATCCTCTCTTCCTCAATCCCATTATTTCCCATTGTAATGCCTGTTTGAACATAAACAAAACAAAACCAAAAATTACAGAGAATACTTACAATTCCTTGGACAGCCAGAAAGAGTAATCCAGATGTTATGACAGAAGTGATGACCTGAAGACATCACAAACATTAGAAGGAGACAGTCATGATTTTTTTAGTGGTATTATAAGTAGATGGAATCTAGAACATGTTGCTTCCACTGGAAAAAGAAAAACAGGAAAACAATGTTAAGATTCTCAACAGCCTTTTGTGATGGCATGGAATGGTGTCATCTCATGAACTGATGTACATACCTTTGAAGATCACAAGTTATGGAGAGGCATGATCATCCATGCCAACTGGCAAGGTACTTGATGATGATATTGATGTATGTATGTGTCAGCATTTGTAGCTTGGGCGTTGCGAACGCGCTTCGTAAATGCCGGGGTGCCGGGTTCGATCCCAGCTGCGGGCCTTGCATTGGTTTCAACAGTGGTATTGAGAAGCTGACAGTCCAGAAAGCAATGGCAAACTACTGGACGTAAACTTACCTAGAAAAACCTCAAGCAGCCAACAAATGCTGGGGTTGGTTCTGTACGTCCTGTAAAGGATACGCAGCTAACTTATGTGTGAGATAGCTTGAAGTCCAAAAGACAGCTTTGTTCACTTGTTTAATTATGTTTGTGTGGGCGAGATTCATAAGAGAAAATCTGGGCCTTTTACAGGATCCCTACTAAAATATTATGGACATATCTCTGTTCCCTCATGTGGGTTCCGGAGTCCATTGTGGGGGAAACAAGAATAGACCCACTGCCTCACAAAAGACATGTTGTAGGAATCGACTAACTGAGGACTCCCTTCGAAGTTGAAGTGAATCTATCTGAACAGCAAGGAACAAACTGCACAGTAAACCGGTATAATGGATGTAGACGCAAAATTCTGGCCTTGGACAAAGCTAAAATCCAAATGGACGAACAGCTGAAGCTTACAGTCGATGAACAAAGAAGAAGAAGAAGAAGACATCTCTTCCTGAAAAAATGAAAATAAAAAATAATTCTGCTAGAGTATATTTTGTGGCCTAGTTGTTATTGAATATTTTTGCTGAAGTTAACTGTCTGCTTTGTTTCACTTGACAGTCTGTGGTGTTAGCAGATGCAGGGAAATATAAGTGTGAAGCCAGAAATATGTTTAACGTCACGTCTGCGGAAGGATCTCTGGTTGTACGGCGTAAAACCAGAATTGAACAGATGCCGTTAGATCTTGAGGTTAATGCGGGGACAGATGCCAAATTCACCTGTTCTGGAACAACTGATCCAGAAGAGGTGCATAATTTCAAGATTCTGTGGCAAAAAGATGGAAAAGAGATCACAACAAGGGACCAAAGAATGACTGAGAATAAGCAGGATAATTCTTTGACCATTGGTGGCACCATTCAGAGAGATTCTGGTACTTACACGTGCATCGCCACAAATGGACTGGACAGCCATTCAGCATCTGCAGTATTGACAGTCAGAGGTTAGTGTATAATTAACAAATGCAACATTTTTTCCTTATGTTTAGTTCTACTGGATCATCCAGTCTCCATCATATCTTGGATAATCAGCAAAAATAACAGGTCATTGAGAAGTGACATCATAAAGTTACGAAACTCAGAATTCAGATGACTTTGTAAAGATTAGCTATAAAATCAATACACAGACATTTGTTGACTACTTTATTGTCATCTTAATTATGTCCCTAAATATCTTATCGCCTAATTGTAGATGAATGTAAAAAACTGTCTGGTAGAATTGCAGACACAGCAAATTCTGATGCTGCTTTGTGTTGTCCTGTAGAAGACTAATTTTTTTGTCTGCTTGTTTTATGATTAACCCAGTCCTCGAGTTCAATAATGATACTGATTTTATTATGGCCAAAACAAAAACACATTTTTTGTTTTATAGAGACCATCTTTGTTTTGGCTGTGATAAAATTAGTCTCATTATTTAGGGTCAGACTATGTCTGTCTGTTGTCTGCATGTCTGTGACATCCTGTCTGCCTTGTCTAATGTCCTGTCTGTCTTGTCTGCATGTCTGTGACATCATATCTGCCTTTTCTAATGTCCTGTCTGTCTTGACTGCATGTTCTGTCTGTCTTGTCTGCATGCCTGTGACGTCCTCTCTGCCTTCTCTAATGTCCTGTCTGTCTTGTCTCATGCCTCTATATGTGTATATTATGTTGGACTATTCCGTAAGACTAACCATATTTCCTATAGATTTTACATGGAACACTGTCAGCATTTGCTGTCAAGTTCTTGTCCCCTTCAGTTGTCAGTCAGTGACAGAATTTAGCAAAGAAGATGAAACAGCAATGAGGCTCTTCAGTGTCCCACAAAACTTATTGGGAAGGCTAACCTAGGAAACAAATGTCTGAAGAAGTCGGGTGTGTAGCCGGAAAAGTGCAAATATCACAGCTATGCTGTAAAAGGCACAATACAGTTACGTCTTTGGGTGAATGCAGAAGAAGAAAACCAGTAATTATCTTCATCACCTGTTTCACAATATATGACCTTTCATACTCTTTTATCAAACACCTGCTTTTTTTTTCATGTGTCTTTGGATTGTTTAATAAAAAGTTTTCACATGAAATAATAACCAGTGAACTATTTTGCCTAAAAATAATATTTGGCTATGTTGAATGTTTCAGATAAGCCAGATGCACCGTCAGATGTCAACTGGGAGTGGTGTAATGTGAACGCAACAATTAACTGGATGCCTGGCAGTTACAACAATGCACCTGTCCAGTATTTTATTCTTCAGTATAATACTTCTTTTAACCCTGATAAGTGGACATTTGGCCTTCAGGTAAGTTGAACGCTCAAAAAGGCATTACATTTTGAAAAAAAAAAATAGAAAAAAATAACCTTATGATCAGATTTAGAAGAAAGTGTGTGACTTTGTTTAGACATGTAGAAAATACTGGTGTTAATTTCTGTTTTAACTGAGAATTGATATCTTAGCACTCTGGGCAAACCTGTGTTTGCCCCATTGCTCTAAAACAACTATCAGACAAGGAAGGAACGGTGCATACATTTTAGACTATGAACACAATGAGTCAAATGAATGCTGTCTCCACACTGAAGGTTGGCTGCAGTGAGTCGGTACACTGAAGCTGTGTAGGCCACTGTGCTGTGCACATGGAGATACTGTGTACCTTACCTCGGGTGCCAGCAAGTTCTGTACTGGTTTAAAGGATTCTAATGTAAGACTCTAGCTCGACATCCTGCCCTACAGAATATGGCCTTTGCTAAACCAAGCTGGCAGGAGATCTTGGAGTTGGTGGCCCCCCAGAGATTCAGTGCCCAGACATCCTCTGGTAAAGGTGCAAATATCACAGCTTTGCTGTAAACAGGCTCTCTGCATCACTCCGACAGACAATGATGCGAAAAAGAAGCCTTTTTTTCAACAATTTGTATCATTATTAGTCTTTTCCGAACCTCTGTATTTGATTGTTTTGTTTGTTTTTTGTTTTCATGAAATACAGCATATTCTTTTGTATATCTACCATCTCCAAAGACTCAGTGGACTTTATAATTGCTTGTTCATTGTCCAGGTCTCTGCACTAAGCAGCATGGTTGATTATACATAGCATATGACGTTTCTTAATTGCAATGTGTTGCCTATCTAGTTTATATCTATGTTTTCATTATTAAAATCTGTCTTAACTTGACAATTCTTTTATTTTGACCAGGTTAATTCAACTTTAAACAGAGTAAACTTCACTCTCTCACCATACGTCAGCTACACATTCAGAGTTCTTGCTTACAACAAGATTGGCTTGAGTAACCCTAGCTTCCCAACACCAAAAGTTTGCACTTCTAAGCCAGGCAGACCTGCATACCACCCTCGTAACCTTCGAACTCTTGGACACCAGTTTGGAAAACTTTACATTGAATGGACTGTAAGTAGGAGCAATAGAAATGTGCAAAAGATTTCTGCCTATTAAAAGTAATTATAGATTTTGTCAGTGTTGTCATCTGTTGTTGGTAATACTTTCCTTACAAGTATTCTCTTGTTACTTACAGTTTGTGTTGTTAATCATTTGTGTCCAAAGCTTTATGTCTCTTGTACTGTCATAAACTTCTGATGCAGATATGCTTCCATGTCATGTCAAACTGTCCACCATCATCTCTCTTGGTCTCCTCAGTTCTTTTTCCTTTCAGCTTTTCCTTCATCATTTGCCGTTCTCATAATAAAACCAATGTAGATTGTCTCCTTCTGGTATTGGTAATCATTTCCCTTTTTAAGTTAATTTTTTTCTTGAAATTTTCATTACACTTTTTTTTAAATCTGTTCATTGTGTTCTCATTGTTTCTGTCAAACCTTGTGTTTGCAGTATTTCACTAATCAAGTGGTCATTGGTGTATGAAAATATGCCGAGTGCATAACAAAATTCCTTTTTTTTTCTTTTAACCGATGGACTGTCGAAGATCCACTTCTTCAGCCAGGATTAGTTCTGCGTAGTTCTTTTCCAAATTATATACAATGAAGCAAATAAATTGGTTGGCCACACCATATCACACAAAGCATACACTAAAGGAGAACAAAATGGAAAGATAACATCAGAAACTCTACAACTGTACGGTGTGTCTGTGATCAAGGCACCAGAAGAACAGAAGCAGAACCTTATATGTTTCCTTGACACCCAAAGTGGTTTTAAAACAAAAGAGTGATAGGAAATTTTCAGTTGCCTACTTGTATGAGATCAAAGGAAAAACATGTGCACCATTTGTAAGATTGTGTGGTACTTGTTTGATGTCTATCCTTGATCTGACTTCAAACTGCATATTTACTGTGATAATTTTGATTTGAAAAATGTATTTTTTTTTTTTTTTTTTTTTTTTGCAACTTAGATTAGGAATTAGTGGACACAGTTTCAAAACCCCCACAAATGGTCATGGCTCAGCAGCAGATGATTTGTAGCAGACCACTATGCATTAACTTTGACAAACCTATGATCACTGGCACTGCTAATACAGCAATGGCTAATTATTGATTGTAACATTTCCCGTTGGTTTTGATTTGTGGCATTATATATAATACATACAACTGCAACTTTATTGGATCTTGTATTTTACTCAACACTTTTTAAATCATATTTTTTATCCTTTTATTCCCCTAGCCAATTTCTGAATATGATCAAAATGGGCCTGGATTTTACTACATTCTGCGGATATTGCGATTGGGAGCGCAAGCAGAAACTGATACCATTGAAATACCAATCAATGACTGGCGGACCAGTCATTATGAGATGTCCACAGGTTATGTTTATGAGCCATATAAAATCACACTGAGAGCAGGAAACAGTGTGGGAGAGGCATCAGCAGATCCCTCCACCATTATAGGCCATTCCTATGAGAGCAGTAAGTCTTTTTTTCCCTTGCATCATAGGGTATTTCAACTATAGTATGAATAATTAAGTAAATTTGTATATATTCTGACAAGTTTAAGCTTAAATATTCTGACAAGTTTTAGCTTATGTATATATTCGGACAAGTTTAAGCTTACGTATATATTCTATATATTCGGACAAGTTTAAGCTTATGTATATATTCTGACAAATTTAAGCTTATGTATATATTCGGACAAGTTTAAGCTTATGTATGTATTCGGACAAGTTGTTTAAGCTTATGTATATATTCGGACAAGTTTAAGCTTATGTATATATTCTGACAAGTTTAAGCTTGTATATATATTTGAACAAGTTTAAGCTTATATATATGTTCGGACAAGTTTAAGCTTACATATATAATCTGACAAGTTTAAGCTTACCTCAAGAAGAAGGTTGCTGCGACTTCAAGAATGAAGACGGAGAGTCTTGATCACTGTGACTTTGATGTGGTTAAACAGATACTTTAGTCAACAACAACAAAATAGTCATTTTAGTGTAATTCTCAGTCCATGTTGGGTACAGTAACAAATGAGCAGATGTGGCACAAATGGAAGTCAAGTTTAGACATTTCTCTTTGACAGTCCGTGCCATGTAAGAGTGTGGGATTATGAGCTGTTAGCAGAAATATTGACCCCAATGTCTCTAGGTCATGCAGGTGTTTTAGGAAAATAACATGCAGACAGATTGACTGGTTCTGTACCTCTGGATGATGAATTGATGCATGACAAGATAGATGTGGTGTTGTTATGTAAGTTCTAGTTCAATTCAACACACTAGTTTTCAAGAGTATTTGTGATTAAAACACTTTTGATAGACAGGATTGACATTTTAAAGAAAACATGTGAATGATGGCTGATAAAAATATTGTAACAGATGAAAACATATTTGATAATGCTTGAATTTGAATATTTATGTTTTTGTGGGGAGAGGGGTGTGTAGGAGAGGCTTTTCTCCCTCTCTCTCACACACACACACACACACATAGGGGTGGTGATGGGGAGAATGAGGGTAGCACGTTTCCAAAGCCAGTATGTTCAGTCTCCCAGTGGTGGCAAGATAGTTTAATCCTACCAGGATGTCTCTTGAGGGGATTGTGTAATCCTACCAGGATGTCTCTTGAGGGGATTGTGTAATCCTACCAGGATGTCTCTGAGGGCATCCTAGACTTACTGATCATGTTCAGTATTAAACTCATGGACAAATACACTGTCTCTCTGTAATTAGCTCCAAGTAAATACAAAAATATTTGTTGAAATTATAGATAGCACATATTTATTTCCATCCTTTAGTTCTAAATATTCCCCGGGTGGGTTTCAGACCTTATTGTGGGGAAAACAAGAATAGACCCACTGCCTACCCAAAAGTGTGTCGTAAAAGTGGACTAATTGGAAGCTTCCTTTGTAGGCAGAGTTCATCTGCCTGAGAGGCAAGGAGCCAACAGTCTGCATGCAAATGAGTCAGATCTGTGAGGCAGATGTGCACGCCACACTCAGTTTCTGGAAGAGGACTAGAGTCCAAAAGTGGACAAACAACTAGAACCTTCTGCCAGAGTTTACAGCTGGTGAACCAAAGAAGAAAAAATTCTAAGAACAACATCAGGAAACTTGTTTTAGATAGCTTAATGTTCCTATACATGCATTTTAATCTCTGTCATTTTTAGCTCCGACCATAACACCCACAAATTTGATAGCAGCAGAAGTGGCCGACTCATACGTCTTATTTCAGTGGGACTTTGACAAGAGTGAGATCAATAAAGTCAACACCAGAATTCAAGGGGAGTTCCGAGGTTTTAAGGTGATTTTAACATTTTAATTTTTATTTTGATACTGAGTATCATCATAATGTGACAGGTATTTTGCTTGTGTTCTCATCCCAGCAGACTGGAAAGCCAATGGGTCGGTCACCTGCCAAATTTTAGGAGTCCCCTGGTCAGGGTGTCATTGATACACTGTGTCCACTGTCATGCTGGCGGACCCCTGCCTCTTATTCTAGGAAACTATACCCTCCAATAATATTCTTTGCAGATCATTATGGCAACACAAGTGTGTAATTTTCACTGCTACAGTAACAGCAATTATCACTTGACCCATCTGATAAGGAAATCGAAATCTTTTACTTCAGATTATCACCATCTCCAGATGCAGGACATTTGAATACCTTCTCCAAAAAGATCTCAGAAACACACACGTAACCGTGGAAACTGAAATAGACATCAGGGTACCTTCACTAAAGCTGCCCAGTTTTGCTAGGTTGAGAATTAAAATCTCGCACAGAGAAATAGACCATCATCATCATCAGGTGCCTTGTCGACTGGCGTGAACGATCATGCCTCTCCACAATCCACGATCTCCTGCAGCAAATATCAGTTCGTGTGCTGACACACCTCCATGCCATGCAACAAGTCTGTCAGGAATCTTCTCCTGTTGTCTTCCTCTATCCCTCCTTCCACAGATTTTTCCAGTGGTCACAACATGTTCCATTTTCCCTCTCCTTATAACATGGCCTAAAAATGATTACTGTCTCCTTCTGATGTCTGTGATAAAACCAACATTGCAGCTTTAATACCTTCATTCAGTAAACTTTATATTTGTGTACACATGGGTCATTTGTATGCATATGTGTTGCTTGTACCAAATTATTACTGACTGGATTTGTGTGCACCTGAGGCAAGATACATGATACATAACCTGACGTTTTATTTTAGTATGTAATTTTCTACTCCGAATATATATTTTTGTTATTATGATTTTTAAAACAACACTAATTTCTTTTGGTCTTAGATTCAGTTTTGGGAGCAGAACAGAAGAGCTCAAACAGTCCGGGAATTCGATATTGGTCCATCATCTCAAAATAACGCTACTGGAAATACATTTAATGCCCGTGTCGAGGATATGTTACCTTTTACAAATATGGAGGCTCAAATACATGTCAAGAACAACTACTACATCAGCAGTCCATCAGAACTGGTCCGCTTCAAAACAGTAGCCGGGTGTAAGTGTCTGTGTGTATTTGTAGGCATACCAAAATACATGTGTGGCTGGATAACAATGATAAACTGTGTTTTTGTATTTACATACAGGTCTCAGTCAAACTAATTCCCCTCTAAACTTTGTACAAACAGAGTTGAGTTAAGTTAAGAACTGGCATCACAGTACTCGGGGCATTCCCATACACGCTCTGTCCCCATCCTCAGCAGCCAGCGCAGAGTTCCAATACTAATGGTGCCAGTCGTAGTCTGGTTGTATGTCCGTCTTGCTTTTCCTCTGAGCGTAGTGGGCCAGCCGAACCCTCTGGTCACACCCAAGTGCATCATTCTTTTGAGCCCATAATAATCTAGTTTCTGATCTGACTTCGTTACTTGTTCCTAAAGGGCTCTGACCACATCTGCCTTGTCATGCGTCAGTTCACCAGTCTGTCTGCCTGTTCATTCCCCCACCACGCCGGCATGACCTGGAGAAAAATTCCAAAGTATGCTTACTACCCCGGACCTTGCAAGTGAAACTTGCCACTCTGCTCGAAGCAATCCTAATTTAACCTATTTCAGCATGCTTTCAGAGTCTGTTACAATTACGACATGTGAATGTATCTTGTTCTCTAGCTCCCGGCAAGTTGCAGTGACTGCTTTCAACACCATTCTCTCGCTAGATGTTGTGGTATCATATGCCAGGCTGTCCTGCACTAAAGATTTTCCACTGGCCTTCGCTACGAAACCCCAGGCACTTCTCTTCCCTCTCAGTACAGAACCATCTGTGTAGATAATCAGATCATCAAGATGAGAATTGTTGGGAATCAGCTGTTGGACCCACCTCAGTAGCCCCTGCTGACCACTCTCTACACTCTTGGCCTAATGTGATCATGACCCTACATAGGTCAGATTTTTCCTCTGGTACTCTGACCTACTCCTCTCCTCGCCTAATGTTCTTCAGCATGCAAACTTGCCTTATTGTGTCTTCTGCTTGAGCTACCCATGATTTTCCCCTTTTCAGCCTCTGACGCTTAACTGCATCCAATGATTTATACAGAGGGTGTTCCCTGTCTGCAGCTACTCTGAGGTATGACTTAGCCTGCAGCACCTTTAGCCTATTTGCAATAGTCGGCAGTGCAAGGATGTATTGCATGCACACAATCGGGGTGTCTCTTGTACATCCAGGGATCACCAGCATAGCTTCATTCTGTATGTGCTCCAGTTTCTCTAGCTGACTCTTCGAGACAGTGAGCAAACCAAGTCCATAATCAATCATTGAGATGATTGAGCTCTGGTAAAGTGTGAACAGTATCTTTTCTCCATGTCCATTGCTGCCATAATCGTAAGTGCAATAAGACCTTTTTGAGTCTTTGACTCAACCACATCTATGTGATCCTTGAAAGACAAGCTTCTGTCAAAGGTGATTCCCAGGTACCGCAGTCTGCTGTCTCTCTTGATGTCCCTTTGCACTAACATTGGCGGAGAAATGCATTAACTTCTGTGTGCTACTACTGTTAAATCTGTTTCTCTCACTTTTCCTTCTACATTTTTTCCTCCTCTATTTTCTTCGTCTTCTGTCTCTTCTTTCTTTATCTTCTGCTTCTCCTTTTTCATTCTCCTGTTTCCACTTCTCATCCTTCATTCTAATCTTAGCAGAGATATTCTGAAAGAGTTTAGGTATGTGCTTCATACATGATCGTATTCACAGAAAAACATTATTTAGTTAGTTCATTGTTTACACAGAAGATCTCTTCCTCTATTACCATTGTGTCAAAGAGTGTGTGCTGCTTGAGGGCGATTGTCTTATGGTAAGGTCCTAATGGAGTAGGGATGTGCGATACAAGATTGTTAATGTCTTTTAGCCTCTCCTGCTGAAGCCTACTTCACCTACATCATATGGACCCTGTTCTTCCCAGCAATCCCATGGCAGTATGGGATTCCACCCCCCCCCCCCCCCCCCCCCTCCAGCTGAAAACTTGATATGGCAACAAATGGGGTAAAGGTGAAATCCGGTTCCATCAATCAGCTACTGAGTTGAGTAGATGGTGCAACACTCTGAGGTATACATATCATGGGAATGCTTACTGTGTGTGCTTCTGGAGATAATATAAACTGCATATTTAGAAAATGGTGAGGGGCTGGCTGCAGCAAAATTGGTGTTATACCTTATATATCTGCTGATGGTCATGCTTCTCTCAGTTATGAGTAGCAATTCTCATTGACAGACTGTAGATGTTGGAACGTCTTGCAGCTGTGGTATGCAGTTGAAGCATGTGTGAACTGTTGCATTTTGATGGGGCTGCTGTCTGACTTCATAAGTGATAGTGATGGGCATCTTGTGTGGTGTTCATTTGTGCATTAATGGAGCAGTTATGGGGTTGGAACCCCAACTGAGAGCTTGTCTTCTGGTGCATCGCCAAGCAACCATAGTTGTTTTAGAATACATCTAACATAACAATGTTGTGTCCACTTGTGTCTTGTGTTCATTATTTTCTGCTCCTGTTGGTTCACATTACTTTTACTGTGCCTTTCTACTGCACAGTGCCAGGACCTGTTGAGTATTTCCGTGTCATCAATATTGGGGACACCCATGTGAACTTGGAATGGGGGAGTCCAGCTGAGAATAGAGGAGATTTGCTTGGCTATGACATTAGCTACCAATTAGGTATCTAAATGTTTTGTTTTCATGTTTGTTTAATTTCATCATTGGTTATTTTTATATTGGTTTATTTTTTATTACATCATCTTTACTAGTTACACAGTAACACCACTGTCAGGCAGCCTTGTGATCAGCACCATCACCAACATGATTACCACCGTCACTATTGCTCTCACAGTACATAGATCTTTACTTTCAGTTCACATGCTCTAAATTTCTTGTCCATCATAGTTAATCCTGCTCTAAACAGTATTTAATCATCATCTGCTTTTGTTGTTGACGGTGAAGCCCAGTGTTGTGGTTTTCTGTATTTGTCTTGTGCTTCTCAGGTGGCTTGAGTCATGGTTTTGTTCATCTTTTTTGCAGGTTTCAGCTACACCGTCTATCCTTCTCCTCTTGGTCTTCAATCCACTGGCCTTCTGCTCTGATGTTTTGTTATTGAAAGTCACATGTACAGTTTGGTCTGGCTGCATCTTATATCAAAAGATCTGTTGCCAGATCTAAACACTTTACAGGTAGTCACACACACACGCACGCATGCACACACACACATACAATAGTGAACCAACAGCAGTGGTGTCATCATCACAACATACTGAGGAAGATAAAGAAGATGGGATTAACTAACAACCCCCCCCCCCCCTTTTTCCCCCTCAACCTTGTCCAAGTTGAAAGCTAACATTGTTTTTAATGTTTGAACCAGTGAATGGCCTTGATCTTGGTGAAATGCAGGAGAGGGAGCCCCAGATTGATGACCCATACACAACCAATGCCTACCTCAGTGGCTTAAGGGCTAGTTCCAAATATCGGGTGCATATCTATGCCCGCACAGTAGCTGGCCGTGGGGAAGGATTCTTTATTGAAATTACCACGACTGCCCCAGGAAGTAAGTACTTATCAGTTAGTTGTTGATGTCACCATTTATGTCATAGTAAGTTATTTCTGTAACCGCTGATGTACTGAGTTCCTGTAAACAGTGGTGTAATGATGAGTTGGTCATTGGTGTAAGTAGCAAAATAATGATTAGTTAATTATTTGTATAGCCATTTATCTAATGGTGACTTGGTTTTAATGGTGTAGCCATTAATAAAATGATGAGTTAGTTTTTAGTGTAACTGTTGATTTAATGATGAGTTAGCTATCAGCTTAACTGTTGATGTAATGATGAATAAGTTATTAGAATAGTGATCAGTTAAACTGATTGGTATAATAAATATTATTGTCAATTAAAAAAAATTATAATTGTATCACAATCTGCTAATTATCAGTGTAATGATCACTTAACTATTGGTGTTGTAGTTTATTGTATCTGTATTGTAGATCCGGCAGTCGCCGTGGCAGTGCGGCTAGACGCGCGCTGTGGATCAGAAGGTCGTGGGTTTGCTTCCTGGCAGAGCCGGACTTTTCTTAAAAAATGACCTTGGCTCCCAGGTCGACCCAGCCTTGAGTGGGTACCAGGTGCAATCCTGGGAAGTAGAGGTGGCCGGTGGGATGCTGACCATATCACCCATCTTGTGCTGTTGGTCTATAAAATTTAGGTCTAGCCCTATATGCCTTATACACCTAAAGGCGTGGAAAAGGATCCTTTCTTTACTTTACTTTTTTATTTTTATTGTAGGTCCTGATTTTATCTGCATTTCAAATGTTTTTTCTTTGTGTCTCAGATGTTTATTTTATCTGTGTCATAGTTGTTTGTTTTATCTTAATTGTAGTTTATTTTATCTGGATCATAGATGTTTATTTTATCTGAATCATAGATGTATGTTTTATGTATATTATAGATCTTTATTGCCCGGCTCTTTAGCGAAGTTGGTTAAACCTGACTTTCGCGGCGACCGGGTGACGAACTCCTTGTGGTCAGGGTTCACTCCCGGGGGTAGACAGAAAAGCCACATTTCTCCCAGATTAATGGTACCTATAATGGAATCAAGGCCAAAGGGTTGCGATATCCATAGTAGCAAGCCAAAGGGTTTACAAACTCATGGTTTCTGGATACATAAAAAAAAATATAGACCTTTATTTTGACTGCATGTAGATGTTTAATTTGTATATAATTCAGAAACTTGTGTCTGTAATATAAATGTGTTCTACCTAGGTCCCAGCATGCCACGGTTCACCATTGCAAATATCGGCAGGACTTTTATTAATGTCACTTGGTGGATAAATGCATACGCCTCCTCTGGCACCATTGTGTTTGTGGAATACAGAAAACTGGGTGAGTAGTGGCCATATAATGATGACAACCAAATCTAATAATAGGAGCTCACCCCTACAACAAGAAGTCATTAATTCAAATTACTGTTAGGGCAGGTTTTTAAAACTGAATTGGCCTTGCAAACCAACACCCCCCCCCCCCTTTCCCCCAATATTGGGGGGGGGGGGTTATATACAGATTAGATAATAACACACCTTTTGAATTTTCTTAATAACACCTTTTGGATGGTAAAATTGAATGTGGAATTATATGGTGACATATCTCTTGATTAACTTTCTTGTTTAAGGAGTTGCGGTTGGAAATAAAATACAGAACTTCAATGAGTGAGTTTGAGGACCCCATTTGGGAAAAAGGGGGGAGGGGGCACTGTTCCCTTACAAGCAATTCATTATAGGTGACTAATCAGGGGTGTTTCCTTCACAGCTGGAGTGTCTCTAACTCAGAGGGGAGGAAACAACAGTCTGATGCAAATTAACCAGATCTGTGAAAGAGATGTTCAGGTAAAACTCAAGTTCTGGAACAAAACTAAAGTCTGGAAATAAATGAACAACCAGAACTTTCCACCAGAGTTAACATCCTGTGAAGGCTAAGAAGAAGTGTAGAACTGTTAGAGGGGTATGGTTTCAAATCTTGAATTAAGAATCGACATAACACCACTCGGAACGCCTCCATGAGTGCTCCGTCCCCATCTTCAGCAGCAAGCGAAAAGTTAAAATTCCTCTGATACCAGTAACTGTCTGATTGTATATCCGTCTTGCCTTTCCCCCGAGTTTCGAGCGTCGGACTGATGCCCTTGTAACTCCTTGCAGTGTCATTCTCCTCAGACCGTAATCATCTGTCTGTGCCTCTGCACTGTTCGCTTGCTCCCAAAGGGCCCTCACAACATCCAGCTTGTCATACATCAGTTCACCGCTGGTATGGTCCCAGTGTGCAGCTAACATTATCAGCAGAGACAGACAACATCCACATTCTTTTACTTCTGCTGGAAGAGACTGAATGCTTGTGGACCTGTGCCAGTGCATATTACGTGTTACTGCAGCTTTTTTTTTTAACACTGCATTATTATTTTCACACTTTCAGACTTTACACTTGAATAACTTACATATTTTAATTTAAAGAGGTCAGATATAGCAACTATTTTGCTATAGAAAGAATTGATAACAATAATTTTCAGTGTTTTGGCAATCAATGCAGTTGGCACATTTTTATCATCTGCATGTTTGTTAGATGGTGCTGAATGGATAAGAACCTCAGATGAGGTGGTCAACACATGGAAAAATGTCAGCAACCTTGAACCTGGAACCAAATATGAGATCAGAATTAAAACAACCAATGGGCCAATAGTTGCAGCTTCTGCCATTGAAGAAGTCATCACAGATGGCACAGGTAAACTGTCTTCATGTTTGTAGTATTGGAATGACTGAATGGTAACATCTGCACACAACATATCAACTTCAGTCACATGAAATCAAGTATCCTATCACATTGTCAAATTATACAGAAAAAGGAAAACCTTGTCATACTATGCAGACAAAATCTGTGTCAAACTGAACAGAAAAGGTTGAGTGTTAAGACAAGAACTTATATCATGGCACTCAGGGCATTCCCATAAGTGCTCTGTCCTCATCTTCAGCAGCCAGCAAGAGTTCCAGTTCTGAGGGTGTTGGTAGCAGTTTGATTATATGTCCATCTTGACCTTTTCTCTGAGTGTGAAGTGTTGACCAGATCCCCTGGTCATTCCTAGCTGTTCTCTCCAGACTCTAATGATTGTTTCATGCCTCTGCATTTTTCACTTGCTCCCAAATTGGGTAAACCACATCTAGCATCAATTCACCACTGCTTGTCACTCTGCAGGTAGCATGCCTGTGTCCACATTTCTCAACATGCTTTGTGAGCTGGTTACAATCAAGACATGTCTGCAGGTGGTTCTCAGGCTAGCGCAAGGCTGCTGTGACTGCCACCACCTCCATTCTCAGACAAAACCTTGTCAAACTGTATAGACAAAAAACCTTGTCAAACTGTATAGACAAAAAACACTGTCAAACTGTATAGACAAAAAACATTGTCAAACTGTATAGACAAAAAACACTGTCAAAATGTATAGACAAAAAACACTGTCAAAATGTATAGACAAAAAACCTTGTCAAACTGTATAGACAAAAAACACTGTCAAACTGTATAGACAAAAAACATTGTCAAACTGTATAGACAAAAAAACACTGTCAAAATGTATAGACAAAAAACACTGTCAAAATGTATAGACAAAAAACACTGTCAAACTGTATAGACAAAAAACACTGTCAAACTGTATAGACAAAAAACATTGTCAAACTGTATAGACAAAAAACACTGTCAAAATGTATAGACAAAAAACACTGTCAAAATGTATAGACAAAAAAACACTGTCAAAATGTATAGACAAAAAACACTGTCAAAATGTATAGACAAAAAACACTGTCAAACTGTATAGACAAAAAACACTGTCAAAATGTATAGAGAAAAAAACACTGTCAAAATGTATAGAGAAAAAAACACTGTCAAAATGTATAGGCAAAAAACACTGTCAAAATGTATAGAGAAAAAAAAAACCTCAAAATGTATAGACAAAAAACACTGTCAAAATGTATAGACAAAAAAAAAATGTCAAACTGTATAAACAAAAAACCTTGTCAAACTGCATAGACAAAAAACACTGTCAAACTATAAAGACATAAACCTGCTAGACCAGTGAGAAAATTCTTCTGCTTCTGCTGGCTTTCACCCACAGATGGAGCAGAGGGCCTCAACCAGTTCACAAAACCCTGTTTAGGTTTGCTCATGATTGGTTAGATTTTTTTAGCTAAGGTTTTCAACATCTTGCCATGGTTGGGGGAGCTTGTGTTGGCATCTTTCTGTCTTTCTAGACGACAGTGATATATTGTGGAGGCAAACGACTCACGGCTCATGGTAATGGCGAGTGTGACTGGCAAGACCCATTTGTGTCAAGATAGGTCTTTCGCAATCTGTGCATGGGATTTCAGGACCATTGTTGCCATCACATGCATTTCATTTCCAGCTTCTGAGACGCTCAGTTCTCAACCTCTCTGCAAACATTTTTTCTTTTATTTTCCGGATCCCCCCCCCCCCCCCCCCCCCCCCCCCTTTTCCACATGGAGCAATTGAAGAAGATTCCCCCAACCCCTACACTTGTGGAGCTTTTGAGGAGGAGATCAGAGCACCTATGGATCTGTCCGGAGTGCTGTGATGATATTCCTTTCTAATCATTAATCCCCCCCCAACCCATCCATGCAGCACAGCACATGGCATTGTATTCCCCTGAATTCACCTTGATAACTGTATCATTCCTGTCCCACTTGCACACATTTTGTTATCTAGGTAGAGACCAACGTCAACATATTCTACCCATCAGCTATTCACCATAAAGGGTGTTCTTAGGGACTCTACCATCTTTCATTCTCCAGGTGAGACCCAGCCACCTAAGTATTCAGGGTAGAATACAGGCAAAGAGACAGCCTGGTCCTTCAGGTTGGAAGAGTGCGGCCAACACCTCCATATTTGTAAAACTTCATTACATCACGAGACAGTTATTTAAGCCTCAGATAGGATGCCAGTCACAGAGTTAAATGGAGTAGGTCATGTCTGCATCACTGAAGCAGACAGTTTTTCCTCAGGATGACTTAGATTGTTGGATGCGTTTGTTCGGATATAATGTTGTTATTATACACGTCCCTAGTAGGTCATGTGGTAAATGTAGACTTTATAGAAACATTACATCTGGTTCTTGAATTTTACTTGTGCACTGCTACCTCTATAAGAAGTAATCTCTCTGTTTTCTCCCTCCAGTCTTTTACCTCAAGGGTTGGCCACCCCTGCAACTTTATAAATTGCATTTTGGATGGCAGTCCAATAAGACAGAATCCGTATAACCTGTTCAGTCTCCAAAGAAGTTATAATTAAGGTATCCATAATGGCTACACCAAGTATCCTGTGCAGGTAAAGGGGTGCTTTTAAGCTCATCAGCCTTTTGCGACTTTCAGCATGTCACTTGATGGCTGTCAGTTTTGCAGTTTCAGTATTATGTATTTCTGAAATGTAATTATTTGCTAATTAATTACCACATTTACTAGTTATTAATTTTATTGTTTGTGTTTTCAGCTGTTGCTTCAGCATTGATTGGCAACTATGGCTGGTTCATTGGAATGATCCTGGCCATCCTTCTGGTGATCGCCCTTGTCATCCTCTTCTTCATCTGCCACAAGAGAGGATTTCGGTTTGCCCAGAAAGAGGGCGCATCCTACTATGGGGGTGGTGGTGGTGACCATGACGACGCATACACCGGTAGATATGATAGTAAGCTATTATCTGCTAGTAAACCTATCATTATCTTTAACTTTCCTCGGCTTTGTACTCTATGGAAGAAGACTGCTCACAGCAAGATTTAAGATCTCTTTTGGTCTTAGAATTATGGCAGTAGAAAGGGTCTAAATTAGCTCTGCTCAAACTTCTAGGGCTTTTAAACCCAAATAGTTTAGTCTTCCCTGTTTCTGCAGATCTTGGTCCTTATTGTTCTGAATCAAATATACAGATCTTGGTCCTTATTGTTCTGAATCAAATATACAGATCTTGGTCCTTATTGTTCTGAATCAAATATACTGATCTTGGTCCTTATTGTTCTGAATCAAATATACAGATCTTGGTCCTTATTGTTCTGAATCAAATATACTGATCTTGGTCCTTATTGTTCTGAATCAAATATACTGATCTTGGTCCTTATTGTTCTGAATCAAATATACAGATCTTGGTCCTTATTGTTCTGAATCAAATATACTGATCTTGGTCCTTATTGTTCTGAATCAAATATACAGATCTTGGTCCTTATTGTTCTGAATCAAATATACTGATCTTGGTCCTTATTGTTCTGAATCAAATATACTGATCTTGGTCCTTATTGTTCTGAATCAAATATACAGATCTTGGTCCTTATTGTTCTGAATCAAATATACTGAAGCTTTTCCTGCTTGCTAGCATGTTATTTTTCTGTATCTGACTGCACCTTCCATTGTTTGTATCTTTCTTGCAGACAATCATCTGACTGTCAGAGGTATTTACAACATTCATCTCAGAATTCACATACCTGCTACCTCTAAGAACTTCCTAATTTGATTGTTCACTGTCACATTTATCTAAGCATTTTGAATGGCAGTCCAGATGGCAGCAGATAATGACATTTCAGGAATACATTACAGGACTGATGCTGCACAACTTGAAGCCATCCAGTCTAGTATTTCTTCTCTCACATCTTCTTTCTTTTATCCTGTATCCCCTAATGTAGCATAGACCTACTCAGTCTTCTTATCTTTTGTCTTGTATCCCCTGATGTAGCATAGACCAACTCAATCATCTTCTTTTGTCCAGTATCCCCTGATGTAGCAGAGACCAACTCAATCTTCTTATCTTTTGTCCAGTATCCCCTGATGTAGCATAGACCAACTCAATCATCTTATCTTTTGTCCTGTATCCCCTAATGTAGCATAGACCAACTCAGTCTTCTTATCTTTTGTCCAGTATCCCCTGATGTAGCATAGACCAACTCAATCATCTTATCTTTTGTCCAGTATCCCCTGATGTAGCATAGACCAACTCAATCATCTTATCTTTTGCTGTAATATGCAGCACACCCCATGCCCTCCCCTTGTTAGTTAGTTAGTTAGTGGACAGATTATCCTCATTGCACATCGAACCATTCAGCCGAAAAATTGCTTAGATCCCCTCCGTAGTGCCACTGTGGGCTCCAGTGGGTAGATGTTTTTTTTTTTTTATATTGTTCTCAGGTTTTCTCAATGTGTATCCTATTCAGTGCTGGCATCTTTTGTTCATTTTTTTATTCACTAGAATTTGTTTAGTTCCCTCCCAAAAGCTCTCTGAGTTGCCACAGACATCTTTTTTCTAGCATCTTTTTTTGTTTTATTGCCAATAATTTTTGTTCCAATGCAAGTTTGTTTTCTGTATTTCTCTTTCTCTGTTGGTGTGTGTCATTAATGTCTTAATTTCTTCTTGATGGTCCCTTACATGCACATTGAAATAGACACTGTCCTTCTTGGTATCACTTCCTCCTCAAATTCAAAACTGTTCTCCATCCCTAGTAAGTTTGAGTTAAAATAGCACATGTCAGTATTCAAAGAATTCATAAAAGGTGGATTGGAGCTAGTTAATGTAACAGTTATGACAAAAATAGAATATGAGGTTTGGCAGGGGGTTTAAACTAGCAGTTTCAGTGAGCAGTTTTTTTCTACGCATGTATCTGTATCTGCATGTAAATTATTGTCCAGTAACACATTTACTAATTAAATGTTTGTTTTTGTGTGTGCCCAGAAATATCTGGGCCCTGTGTTTTTAACAACTCCAACCAAGTTACAAAACTAAGCATGAATTTACAAGATAAAAGTAATCCAGTTTTGTAGTAGAAGTATGAATTTTTCAACAGCAACAACTGGTAACCTCCATATCTGCAGTACACAAATGTTCATGCTGGTTATTTAATTTATATTCCACCTCAACACTACAAGGTACAAGAGGAGGAGAAGATTACCCATGTGGGTTCCAGGGCCTCATTGTGGGGGAAAACAAGATTAGTCCCACTGCCTCCCCAGCAAGCTTGTAAGAGTTGACTAATTGGGAGCTTCCTTCGAAGTCGGAGTGCATCAGCCTGAGAGGCAAGGAATCTGCATACAAATAATCAGATCTAAGAAACGGATGTGCATGAAACAAAACTAAAGTCCAGAGGTGGATAAACAACCAGACCTTTCCGCCTGAGTTTACACCCAGTGAATAAGATGATGATGATGACAATGAGTCATACTAAGTGACACTATATTAAAAAAAAATTGGGAAGACCTAAAGTATAAGTCAGCTTTACAAAAACAGAGCACATTGCAGCAACAGACCTTCAGTAGCAAACAGTGTGATGCCATACACAAGTCAGATAACACCAAAGACACTTCAGTAAGCTTTTGAAATATTGTGCAAACATACAGGAGTTACGCCCTGGCTGGGCCTGTCACCAGAGAGTTGAGATGGCAAAGGGACTGCACCACTCGGTGAAGGGGAGAGCTTCTGATGATCAGACGCCTCCTGTTGTGTTTGCTCCTCTGTGGAGCACTTTCAACTTGATTCAGCTCAAGACATACAGATTGACTGAGATTAGAGTAAAATCTCCTCTTCAGGTTTTATATATTTCATTGATCACTCCCTCCTGGATCAGCTACCTGTCATCTTTTAAACTGAGATGCCTAGTAGCACCAGGCTATGTGATACCAACAAAAGAAAAAGACTGTCAACAGACTACAACCCAATATTCAGTGAGACAAGCCTTGTATTTATCAAGACTTTTACACACCCAATGTTACATATTTATTTTAGTGTGGTAATTGGAAGTGTTTAGCATCATGTGTATACTGACCTTTCTAACAACCAAGATATATTTAAAAAACATCCAGATATCTGCTTTTTATGCAGGTGTATTTTATGACATTGCATATTGGGGTGTTTTTATTGTAACGGATCATATGTGAGACACACATAAAAAGAGGATATTTGTTTGCATGTTGTGTGTGAACACATAGTGGCAGAGAGGATTTACCATTTTAATTTACTGTGGATGTTGGAGGAAAGAAGCAAAGCAGAAATTTCAAGGGACACATTTAAATATTTCAGAAGATACAACATTTGATTGTTTATTAGCTCTCTGTTGAAGAGTTAAGCGCCGAGATTGACAAGGAAAAAATCATGGTTGGCTCAAGCAGAAGTCACACTAAGACAAGTATGCTTGCTGAAGAACATTGGGTGAGGAGAGGAGGGGGTCAGAGTACCAGAGGAAAAGTCTGACCTTTGTAGGGTCATGATCACATTAGGCCTGGAGTGCAGAGAGAGCCGCCAGCGGGGGCTACTGAGGTGGAAATCCAACAGTTGATTCCCAACAGTTCTCATCCTGATGATCTGACCAAACTACGACCGGCACTATTAGTATTGTAACTTTGCACTGGCTGCTGAGGATGGGGATGGAGCGCAAATGGGAATGCCCTGAGTGCTGTGATGCCAATTCTTGACTCAGTTTAACTGTCCAAGAAGGCCTCAAAAGAGATGTCTAATAAAACAAAACAAAAAACACTTAAACAAAACACAAGAAAGCACAAATAAATCTTTATGGTCTGAAGATAATGGTGCAGTGTTTAGTTGCCAAGGGGATCTGGCTAAAACTACACTCAGAGAAATGGCAATACATGAGCAAACTGTTGCTGGTACTACAGATATTGCATCTCTTTCACTGGCTGCTGAATATAGGGACACTGCTCTTATAGAAATGTCAAAAATGCTATAATGTCAGTTCTTAACTCAAATATAAACAATAATTAATGCATTATTGTTATGTCATAAACAGAAAATTACAAATAGAAAGGCCAATTTCTTTAGTAATCAAATGCTCTGACCAAATGTAACATTATGCAATTGTTGGGATTCAAGAGGAAGAGGCAATCACATATGAGACATTGCTTGAAACTGGAGAAAAAACAATTACTGTAGTATTGATTATTTAATTAAGAAACATGTCTCACTACAGCTGGATAAATCTTTGTACGAGCCTTTTTAGTTCTTGTATAAATTGTGGAATATGTATTTGTCAGCTCCAATTTATAATGGAAAATTGTGAATATTCTCTCTTGCACAATATATGTATGTGTATATGTGTGTGCATACACACATATATAATATGTAGTTCACACATCATCATCATTAAGTGCCTTTCCGAATAGTTAAGGTGTTAATTTGTCTCTGCCGATCAGTTTTGAGTGCTCTGGATCATTTCTCTTGATATCCCCAATGCCAGTGTCCTAGACCATTCAGCAGAATTGTCTGTCTATCTTCACTATTTTGTCACAAATCTTTCAGTCATCATGATTTTATCCTTTTCCCATCACATGGCTAAAGAACATTGTCTGTTTTCTAATCATCACCTATAACATTGTACAGTTAAATTAATTTTGTTTATATCTTATTTGTGTGACTCTCTTGTTTTGGAGCTGATGTCTAGGATTCTTCTTATTGTGGTGTCTATTGATAAAGACTGAAACATTCAGTTATTCAGTTGTTTCTATGCATGTTTTCTCCTTTAGTAGATTTTATTTTTGTAATGCCAGCCCATCTACAGTCACCCCTATTTTCATCACGTGTACTTCCATTAGACTGTTTCAAACTGTTGTTATGATGAATGTGCCAGGTTTCTTGACAATGTCCATCTCAAAAACCACATCCCCACTACTTCCAGTTTGTTTTCTGATTGATTTTTTCACATT